CCCCCCCCGCAAAGGACACACACTGTCAAGCACTTTTTACAAAAACTTAAGCTAAATATCTTCATACCTGAGACCCAACATTTGTAACTTTTGTCTCCTCAGAAGCATTCATTTGATTTCCTATATCCAAAGATCTGCAGGAGAGTTGAGAATTATGACAAAGCAATAAAAAGAAAAGCATATTTTAAAAATACTCATGCTAAAAATAGTTCATCCACATGGAATCTGTCAGAACCTAAACACACTGCAACTTTTCTTTACAAGAGAGTCCAGTGCTATTTACTAGTAGTGATGCCTGCCTGCCCCCAAATGAATATGTGTATAGCAGTCTTTCTTTTAACTCGGCGTTTGAAATTTACTGGAACATTTACTCAGGATGTCATAAAACCAGGCAAGCGTGGTTCTTACCGTCAGTTTACACACTGAGAGGTAAGATATAATGTGGGAAAAGTTCAGAATCTGTGACTCTCCAATGAATACTAAGATCACTGTGATGTGGCCCAGACCCACACCCTGGAACAAGAGGAAGGCAAGGTGGTCCATTTATACCCCAAGTATAAATACTGGATATTAAGATTTTCTGTCATAAATTTTTTAAAGTTATTTTTTAGCATTTCTACATTTATAGAGTCAATCTACCAAGCGTCATAAACATACATCACAGATACCTGGAGCACACCCAGGCAATACACCTTGTGTGTTTACTTCCATAGCTTCATTGTACATTGGGGCAGAAGCTAAGAGGTTTCTACCTCGGAACCTTGCTCATGACTGGTATCAATTCTACTGATTTTCAGATGTCTTTGACTTAGGGTGAGAGTTTAACAAGTATCCTAAAACCATGTTCGTTTGTCCATTCCCCTCCCCCAGCCAAAGGCAAAGAATAGAGCGAAGATTTTATTTTAATAATCTGCGTTCTCCAGTGCATAATTTTCACCCTTCCCTTCTTCCTCTGAACAGAAAATGAATGCTCTAAAATGTTCCTGGGGTTAGAGAAAAGAGAAAGGGGGAAATTAAAACAGCAAGGTTTTAAAGTATTGGTGCTCTTCATGATCAGCATGCTGAGTTTACAATGCCAGTGGGTAATACTGACAAGAGATTTTCTAAGAAACAGAATTTCTTCTATGTAGAAAAAATGCTAAAATTGTATCATATTATACTCTTGTACTCAGAATGACATTAGATATTCAACAAATGTTCTATTTTAACTCAGTTCAATTTAATATGCTGGAAATTTTTTTTTTTAATGCTTTACATATAGTCAAGCTGAAATCCATCAATTTTTCTAGTCCATACTTCAGAAAATTAATCAGGAGCTAACTTTAATCTCACATCCAGACCATGCGAAATTCACATACAACCTACTTACTTCTGCTGTTCTTGCATTATGTGAAGTTGCTCCAGTTTAGTCTTATGTTCAGACTCCAATCTATTAAGCATCTCTTTAATGACGGAAATGAAAGAATTGAACTGGTATAACAAGAAATTGATATGGTTATAATGTTTCAAGTTAGCAACAAATGATAATTCAGCAAGTGAAACATAATCATCTCTGTTTTTACTGGAATATGACCTACTCATGGAATTGATGTCACAAAAAGTGTGTTTAAATTCAGCATATCATAGCAAGCTTTAACAATGTCTTAGTATGGTGGTGATCTAGTTGATGAGACTTTTAAGATCCAGAAAACATGTCTCAATTAATTTTACATCCTTACTGTCTAACACCTATTATTCAGAGGTCTTATTTAAGTTCCTCAGCAGTTATTACATACTGATTTTCCTAGAATAATCCAAAAATTGAACATCTAAACTTGTGCATATCTAGAAGCAATCTGCTTAATAATGCATAAAAAATTGCTGTGTATTCAGATTGTTATAAAAGTAAATCTTGTTTTCTAAAAAGTTAGAAATACTAAATGTATACAATCTAACTTCCAAATAATTAAAGTTCATAAAGTAAATCTAACACTATGTCTTAACATAGTGGTTAAACTTTGGTTAAGTAATTCTTATGGTCCCCTTCAGGATCATCATAAATAATTTATTTGAATAGTACCATATATTACAGGAAAAATCCAGAAACTGCTTTCTTCCCCTCCCCAAATCTCATAAATACATCTTTGTGCTGAGTGCTTATACATACACTATTTCAATAATCCTCACAACTCTTCAAAGTTGGCTTTTTAATATTTCTATTTTATAAATGAGGAAACTCAGGCTCATCAAGAGATTAAGTAACTGCCCTGGCCGGTGGGGCTCAGTTGGCTGGAGCATCATCCTGTACACTGAAAAGGTTGCGGGTTCAGTTCCGAGTAAGGACACATACCTAGGTTGCGGGTTCAATCCCTGGTGGGGGAGCATATGGGAGGCAGCCCATCGATGTTTCTCTCTCTCTCACCTTCCCTCACCCTCTTTCTAAAATCAATAAGCATGTCCTCAGGGAGGATTAAAAGAGAGAGAGAGAAAAAGAGAGAAAATAACTTATTCAGAGATCCTAAATAACTTACATGGCAGAAGTACAATCCATACTGTCTCCAAAGCTCTGCTCTTCTCAACCACAGACATTGCCTCTCACCATGCTCTACCATAGATCTATCCTTTGTCTTACCATGAGAGTAACAAAAGACATCTTTCCTTACCATGAACGACTCTCTGCTGATTAGTTTCTAAAACTTTTTAATAAAGTATAACATACTAACAGAAAAGTATACATACAAGTGCACATCTGAAAAAATTCACAAACTTAACCAGTAGCACATGAAGAAACAGAACACTGGCAGCACCCAGAAGCTTCCTTCTGCTTTCTTCCAGTCATTTACACACACTCCCCCACTACCCGCTCTATGAGTAAATACTAGTCTGGTTTCTAGCATGTAGTTCTGACTGCTTTTGTATTTTATATAAATGGAATCATTCAGCAGATCCTCTTCTGTGTTTTCCTTCATTCGCTCATTATGTTTGTGAAATGCATCCATATTGCATGTAGTTGGTGCACAAGAGTTAACACAGGTTTGAACTGCTATCCTTGGAAAACCCTGCTTATAAGGCTGGCCCTTGGCTGGTGTCCAGGACCTCAGAGGATTCCTACCATTAACTGAGGATAGTGGCTCACTGTGCCTGCACTATACAAAGAATATGTTTTATGCTATATACCCACTTTCCTTCTGGGAGTCTGGAATTTGAGCACATGATGGGCAGAGGGTGCTGCTTGATCAGCTCCCAATAAAAACTCTAGGCACTGAGTCTGATGAGCTTCTCTGCTTGGCAACATTTCACACATATTGTCACAACTTATTACCGGGGAAATCAAGCGCATCCCGTGCAACTTCAGCAGGAGCTGACTCTGGAAGCTTGAGCCTGCCCCCAGTTCCCACTGTGTCCTCTCAGCCTTCTCCCCTTGTCGATTTTCCTTTTTATTCTTTTACCATGAGAAATCACCCATGAGTACAACTATATGCTGAGGCCTGGGAGTCCTCCTAGGGAATCCCTGAATCTGGGAGTGGTCTTAGAAACCCTCCCTGAATACAAGTTGGGTATGTGTTTTGATTGCTGCATGGAATTTGTTGTTTTTTAATCAAATGCTAAAAATGTATTTTCCTGTTACCTGTCTTTCTCACATAATGCATAATACATTTAGATCATTTTAAATCAGAACTGACAGAAGAGGGCAGTCTTGAATTGGGAATTCTGTCCATAAAATGAATAGGAAAGCAGACCATTCTAAGTCAGACCATGCTAACTACTGTAAAATAGCAGAAGATATGAATCAAAGTATTTCTGTTGATGAAAATAGCCACTAAAAAAAAAAAAAAAAAAAAAA